AGCAGCAGCAGCAGCAGCAGCAGCAGCAGCAGCAGCAGCAGCCTGCAGCCTGCAGCCTGCAGCCTGCAGCCGCAGCTAGCAACAGCAGAGGCGAATTTCGGGCCTATCGTCATAATCAAAGCCTTCCGGCAACATCTGCGCCCTGACCCAACGTGCCATCTCTGACAGATTTCGTGGCCAGTAGGTCACGGGTCAGCACCAGTCTGTACTACATTGCAGTGGCCCTGCGTGCGAGGGGCCTGGGACCCATTTTGGTGCGTCATTCAGTCCTCGTGTTCGCCAGCTGTTCCTGGAGGTTGCTGGATGCCAGGCATCTCGGAGCGGTGCTGACGATCGTGGAGCGCTCTCGGACGGCCAAAGAGTCTTGAAAGAAGGCCCACGAGCCCTCAAAAATGGCTCAAGGGCCCCCCCCCCAGACCGCCCACTATGGCCTCGGGACTGTCCTAGAGGCACCGAAGGCGCCCCGAAAGGGCCCCACAAGGAGCTTCAAGATGGGCGTCCCCGCGCAATAGTCAGTGGTTCTCCGTGCCTGATTGGGAAGTCTCGCGTTCTCGTCCCTTCGAGCTCTCGACCGCTCCAGGCGACCCCTGAGGCGTCCAAGATGGCCCCGCGCGGCTCCAAGACGGTCCACTAGGTCTCCAAGACAGCCCGAGAGGCCCCTTCCATTGTCCCAACCGCGCCCCCTCACCAGTTACCTCAACGTACTACGGCCTTTCATGAGTTCCAGTGCCCCCACGTGCTTTCTCCCCCACGTCCTGCCACGATGTTTGGGGGCCGAGAAGGCCCTCTCTTTGTCGTCGACGTCGTATGCCTCCTCCTCGTTCTCTCCTCCTCCTCCTCCTCCTCCTCCTCCTCCTCCTCGTTCTCTCCTTTCTCCTATGGCCCAAGACGGCCCCACGAGGCTCCAGAGAGAACCCCATGCGAGCTCCGAGAGGGGTCGCATGGATTCTATACCGCAGGCTCCTCGCAGCCCTAAATGGGCCACGAACTCGCCAAGGACCACTCCGAGATGCCCCAGAGTCTCCCAAGAGACTCCGATAGTTGCCCAGGGGCTCCCCAGGAGAGCGTCCCCATCCACAGCACCCTTTCGCCGATTCTTGAACCCCAGACGCCCCCAAGAACGCCCCAGACCCCAAAGCACGCCCCAGACCACTCCGAGATGCCCCAGGGCCTCCCAAGGAACTCCGCTGGTTCCCACAGAGCTCCCAAGAGAGCCTCCAGCTCCAGCATCTCTCCCCGTGTGTGGATCCCTGGTAGCCTCCAAGAAAGCCCCTGACCCCAAACCAAGGCGCGACAACGGTGTGGCTCCCCCATTTCCTCCGAGAACAACGGCCCAACAAGATCCCAGGGCACTCCCAACGCATGCCCGCCCATCCCAGGACGCCCCCGAGCGCGCCCCCAGGCGGTCCAAGAAGGCCCCTGAGCAATCCCAAGACAGCTCAACATATACGATACGACCCCCAGTGCAGCCCCAGAGCCTCCCAGCACGGCCCCCGACGCGCGCAAGACGGCCCCAGCGCTGCCCAAGGCCACAGAGCTCCCAAGAGAGCCTCCAGCCCCAGCATCTCTCCCCGTGTGTGGATCCCCGGTAGCCTCCGAGAAAGCCCCTGACCCCAAACCAAGGCCCGACAACGGTGAGGCTGCCCAGTTGTCTCCAAGAGCAACGGCTCAACAAGACCCATAGGTACTCACAAAACACGCCCGCCCATCCCAGGACGCCCCCGAGCGCGCCCCAAGACGGTCCAAGAAGACCCTTGAGCAATCCCAAGACAGCCCAACGAAGCCCTCACACACCCTACATACACGCTGTGACCCCTAGTACAGCCCCAGGTGCTACCAGCACGGCCCCCGACGCGCGCAAGACGGCCCCAGCGCTGCCCAAGGCGGCCGATTGGGGGTGACAGGGGGGACCTTCCTCGTAGGGCCCTCGATGGCCCCCAAGACAGCCCCGAAGCCCACCTGCAGGCGTCGGCGACACATGCGCGTTCGGGACCGACACGTTCACCTGCTAGCCGTGGATTTTCCACGGGTTCGCACTAGTCTCTACTACATTGCAGGGCCCAGTGCGTGCCAGAAGGGCGCAGGCTCCAATGTCTCAAAACCGCCCCGGGCTGGCCCCGGGCCGCCCCGGGCCGCCCAGGCAGGCTCCAGGACATGTCGGGAGGGCCCCCCAGAAGCCCCCAAGACGGCCCCGGAGAGCCCCGGCACGCTCAAAGATGGGCCCAAGACACCCGAGATTCGCCCCAGGCGGCCCAAGAGGCGTCCAAGACGCCCGAAGAGGCCTCCCAAGAGGCCTCCCAAGAGGGCCCCGAGCGACAGAAATCGTCGATTTCTATTGTGTTTTTCGATGTTTTCGCCCTCCTCGCCTCTTCGGCTTCCCGACGCTCCAAGACGGCCCAAGAAGTCCCCCCGACTGCTCCAAGACGGCCGAAGAGGACCCCAAGAGAGCCCCAAGACGGGCCAGGAGGGCCCCCAGACGGTCCCAAGACGCCCCAGGACGGCCGCAGGACGGCCCAGTAGGCGCCCAAGACGGCCCAAGAGGCACCCAAGACGGCCCCAGGAGCGGCCCAAGACGGCCCAAGACAGCCCAAGAGGCGCCGATGCGGGTCTCAGACGGCCCCAAGACGGCCCAAGAGGCACCCAAGACGGCCCGAGAGGGCCCTAAGAGCCCCCCCGGGAGGCCCAGAAGAAGGCCGAAGAGGCTCCGAAACGGCCCCACGAAGCCTTCAGTGCCTTCAGAATTCCCTCCAGGAGCGGGGGAGCGGACGAGAGGCGACAGGCATATCGCAGGCAAAAACGCCCCAAGAGATCCCCAAACGGCCCCCACGAAGCCCTAAGTGGCCTCAGAATTGCTTCCAGGAGGGGGGGAGCGGACGAGAGGCGACCGGCATATCGAAGGCACAAAAGAACAATGTTGGACGCTCCGAGGGCCTTCGATGTTTCTCCGTTGGGGAGAGTCGTCGTAGGATCGACGATTGCCGACCGAGGGCAGCGAATCCAGTGGAGGCCCAAGAGGCCCCCAGGAGCCCAAAAGAGATCCCCAAGAGGTGCCACGGGGCTTAAAAACTGCTTCGAAGCGAGGGGGGCGGACGAGGGGACCGCCTCAGGAGGTTTTGGACGGTTTTGGGCCTCAAAATCGTCCGCTTTACGACGGTTTTGGAAGGATTTTGGCCTTCTCGCCTTTTCCGCTTTCCGAGCCTTCCGCCCCAAGAGGGCGCCAGGAGGCCCAAACAGGCCCCCAAGAGGCCCCAAGGGGCCGCCAAGAATCCCCCGAAGAGGCCCCAGGAGGCTCCCAAGGAGCCCAAACGAGGCCCCTACAGAGGCCCCAACAGCTTCCAAAATGGCCCCGAAGAGGCCTCGAGCCCGCCTCCGAGCTTCCTCGCCGCGAGGGTGCCAACACGGTCCCAGACCGGCCCAGGACGGCCCAAGGCGCGCTCAAGACGGCCCAAGACGATTCCAAGACGGTCCCAGGAGGGTGCGCCCAGGACGGCACAAGGACGCGCCCGTTCGGGGCCTCAAGACGGGCCAAGATGGCAAGAGAGTCCCTGCTGGCAAAAATAGATAATTTTCCATTGTTTACTGTTACACCCTTTGCGTTTCCCGCCGTTTCGGAGGTCCGATGCACCAAGAGGCCCCAGAAAGTCCCAGGAGGGTCCGAGGAACCGCCCAGGAAGGCCCCAAGACGGGCCAAGACGGACCCAGCACAACCCAAGGCGCGCTGCGACGGCTCAAGACGGCTCCAAGACAGCCCCAAGAGGGTGCCAACACGGCCCCTGCTGGGCCCAGGACGGCCCAAGGAGGCGCACAGGAGGGGCCCAAGACGACTCCAAGGCGGCCTCCTCACGGTCCCAGACGGCTCCAAGACAGCCCCACGAGGACCCCGATGGGCCCAGGACGGCCTACGGACGCGCCCATGAGGGGCCCACGACGAACCAAGACGGCCCCATCACGGCAAACGGCGCCCTCAAGACGGGCCTGGACGGCTCCAAGACGGCCCTTTGAGGGAGCCAACGCGGCCCCACACCCTTCGGGCGCACACTTGGGGGGGCTGGGAGCTTGCGACAAGTCTCCCACATTCATTGTCCTGCCCCATTCTGTTCGCCTGGAGGCCTCCTCCAACCCTGTGGGCGAACAAGAGGAATCCCAGCGGGACGCCAACCCTGGGGCCCGTGGGCCCCGCGCCGCTTGGGCAGAAGACGAACGCCGGGTCTGACAGGCCAGCTACCGCCCCCCTTTGCCCGATATGCTGTGCCATTCTGTTCCCCCAGGGGCCTTGGCAAACTCTTCGGGCCAAGCAGACCGGACCCCTGGGACAGCAGCCAATTGATATGACCCTGGGACCTCTCCGCATTCTTCGGACGAGCATCTGGGGGCCCAGGAGATTCGGACATGTCTTCCCCATTCCTTGCCCTGTCCCGTTCTGTTCGCCCGAAGGCCTCCACAGACCCTCTGGGCGAACAGAATGGGACATGGCGAACAAACCCTCCCGTTGGCGGTGATGCGACTGGATCGCACCATCAAGGCGCGCCCGGAGGTGATGGCCGACCCAACAGCGGTTTCTCTTAAGAGTTCACTGGATTTCAAATTTTCTTGAAGCTCTCTTGGGCCCTCCCTGTAGATCCTTGCGAGCCTCCCCGGCGCTTTCGGTGGCTTTCCCCGATGGCCTCCCGAGCCCTTCCCCGAGCGCTCCTGAGACGCCTCAGATGGGCTTCGACTTCGACGCACATCCCCGAGAGACTTCGAAACTGTCCTCAATAGGAGGGGGGTGAACGAGCAGTGCGCTGGGCCAAGCTGCTGCAGCGCTGCATCTCTGACACGAAGGCGCGGTCTCGCTGCCGCCGCCCGAGCCGCCGCCGTGTTTGTAGATTTTCGGTACAATCTGCGCCGTTCCTCCGAGAACCATTCCAGAAAGATGTCGTGGACGGAGTCCACGGGTCAGCCCTAGTAACCTACAACGCTGGGATGAGTGCGTGCGAGAAGGGCAATCAGTGGCAGCGGGCCTTGGCGCTGCTCAGCGAAATGTGGGAGGCGAAGCTGGAGCCCGACGTCACCTTCACACCTCTTACATTGCCGGTGACACCTCTGCGGGAAGTGCAGCAGCTTCACAGGGGAAAATCAGCTGGCCCCGACGCGCCTTCATGCACCCCCAGACGTTCCCAGAAGGCCCAGTGGAGCCTTCTCAGGTCCACGAGCGGTCTCAGTGATCATCCACGAGACGCTCACGACTACCAAATTGGCCGCCAATGACGGCCCTAGGCGCCACAGGACGTCCAAAGATGGCGCCAGTGTGGCTCCAAGGGGGTCCAAGATGGCTCCCCGCAGGGCCCACAAGAGGGAGACATTGCCCAATTCATGGGTGGTTCCCATGTACGTCGATAATTTCCTCATTCCTGCCACGAATGCCTCCGGTGCTGCAAGAAGGGCCCCAGAGGATGTCGAATAGGCCCCAAGAGGCCCAGGAGAGCCCCCGAGAGCGCCCAGGACTCCCCCAGATGGCGCGGGCCCGGTCTCCAGGATGACTCCAAGATGGGCCCAGACCGCCCCAAAGGTGGCCCCCAGAGGTCCTTCTGGACGGCCCCCTCGCCTCCCAGAGGGGCCCCTGCGAGGCGCCGGGAGCCCCGAGATGGCCCAGAGGGGCCCGACGAGAGCCCCACGAGTGCCCAACATCGCCCAAGAGGCTTCCAGATAGCTCCAAGACGGTTCGTGAATGGCTCGGGAGGTGGCCCCCAAGACATCGCTACTCGCTCCAACTCCTATGTATGCTGGAATGCCCGGATGCTCCCAAGATTGCTGCAGAGGGTCTTCCGGCTGTCTGGATGGCAACGCGCGACACGTGCGGACGTTTTCCTCGACCCCCTGGGGCCCGCCGGGTGAGCCCCGATATCTTTCGGCCGCAGCAGAACAAGCTGCCTCAGGGCCCGCAGCTGGCGGAAGCAGCGAGCGTCAGCAATATTATTGCCGACGATCGCTGGCAATACTGCTGACGCTTTCAGCCATACTGTTATTATTATTATTATTATTATCATTATCATTATTATTATTATTACTATTATCATTATTATTATTATTAGTATTATTATTATTCTTATTATTATTATTATTATTATTATTATCATCATAATTATTATTATCATCATTATTATTATGATTATTATTCTGATTATTATTATGGTTATTATTATTATGATTATTATTCTTGCTCGAGCGTCAGCAATATTATTGTTATTGCTGACGGTGCTCATTATAAGCACCGTCAGCAATCGGCAAGCCTCAAGAGCTGCGCATCAAGAGTTGCAGTCAGCAGTACGCAGCGGCAAGCAGCCGCAGGCAATTGGCAGACAGGCAGTACTAGTTTGAATCATCAATCACCAGCAGCAGGCGACAGCCGACGGCAGCAAGCAGCAGCAAGAAACAGCGCACAGCAGCAACCATTAGCAGTCATCATAGAATAGCGCAGCAGCAACTCGCACACATCAGCATCTGGTACACGCAGGAAGCTGCGGGGCCTCGCGGACGCTATGAGGCCCATAGAGATGTTGTGTTCTGCCATGCTGCGTTGCATCCGCCAGTCCGTGCTACGACCACGCTTCCTGTTCCTTATCCTTATCGAAGGCGCCTACGGCGAACCACCGCCGCCCCCTGTCGCCCATGTGGCCGAGCGTTGTGGCAAGAGCTCTGCCAAGCTATCGGACCATGTCTTCCCCCAACGGTTGTGGAGACCCCTCGGGGAACACTTTGGGGAGGATGGCTGAGAAGACCAGGAAGGAGGAGGATGCGGAGGAGGAGGAGGAGGAGGAGGAGGAGGAGGAGGAGGAGGAGGAGGAGGAGGAGTGATATGAGGAGGAGGAGGAGTGAGAGGAGGAGGAGGAGGAGGAGGAGGAGGAGGAGGAGGAGGAGGAGGAGGAGGAGGAGGAGGAGGAGGGGGGGGGCATCTTGGGAGTCTCTGGGGGCACTCTTGGGGCCTCCTGGGAGCTTCCTGGGAGCTTCCTGGGAGCCTCTTGGAGGCATCTTGGGGGGCCTGCGTCTCAGGGCATTCCTGGCCCGTCTGACGCCTTCGGAAGCCATCTTGGGGGCCTCTCTGGGCCGACTCGGAACCCTCTTGGGTTGCTCCAGGGCCGTCTTGGAGGCCATCTTGGGCGTCTTGGAGACCTCTGGGGCCGTCTTAGCCCTCTTGGGGCTGTTTTGGGGGCCTCTTGGGCCTCCCAGGGCCATCCTGGAAGCCCTTCGGGCGATCTTTGGGGGCTCTTGGGCCGTCTTGGGCCGTCGGAAGGCCGAAGCGAGGCAATTGTCTAAACGCTTGAACAACCGAAGGAACCTCAATGAATTCGACCTCTGCGGGCCTTCCTGGAGGCTCTCTTGGAGGCCTTTTGGGCCATCTTGGAGGCCTTGCGGGCCTCTTGGGCCGTCTTGGGCCATCTTAGAGCCGTCTTGGGCTGTCTTGGTGGGCTCCTGACCCGTCTGACGCCGTCGGAAGCCGTCTAGGGGGCCTCTCTGGGCCGACTTGGAACCCTCTTCCGTCGGAAGGCCGAAACGAAGCAGATGCCCAACCGCTTCAAAAACCGAAGGAACCTCAATGATTTTGACCTCTGCGGGCCTTCCTGGAGGCCCTTTTGGAGGCCTCTTGGGCCATCTTGGAGACCTCTTGGTGGCCTCTTGGGCCGTCTTGGGCCATCCTAGAGCCATCTTGGGCTGTCTTGGTGGGCTCCTGGCCCGTCTGACGCCGTCGGAAGCTGTCTGGGGGCCTCTCTGGGCCGACTGGGAGCCCTTTTGGGGTGCTTCAGGGCCGTCTTGGAGGCTATCTTGGGCGCCTTGGAGACCTCTGGGGCCGTCTTAGGGCCCCCCTGGGGCGGTCTTGGGGGCCTCTCGGGCCGTTCTGGGGCCATCTTGGATGCCTTTCGGGCGATTTGGGCGCGATCTTTGGGGGCTCTTGGGCCGTCTCGGGCCGTCGGGAAGCGGGAAAGAAGCAATAACCGCAGAACAAATAATGATTTTGGCATTTTCGGGCCTTCCTGGAGGACCTCTGGGAGGCCTCGTGGGCTGTCTTGGCGGCCTCTTGGGGGCCTCTTGGGCCGTCTTGGAGGCATCTTGGGCCGACTTGGAGGCGTCTTGGACCCTCCCGGGCCGTCGTGGAGGCCATCTTGGCCCATCTTCGGCGAACTTGGAAACCACCTCGGGCCATCTGAGCCGTCTTGGAGGCCATCGAGGGCCATCTTGGAGCGGAAAAGGCAAAGAACCAAAACCAAATCCGAAAGGATTCAGCACGCCAGGCACCCCTGTGACAAGCACAGGGGGCGGCGGATCTAGTGGCCTTCGGCCCATCCCACCACTTTGCCTGGGTTGTCGGTCAAAGTTCTCAGGGATGCTTATTGAGGTCTCTTCGGGGCGCTTTGGGGGGCTTCTTGGGGGATTTTTGGGGCCTCTGGGGAGCCTCTTTGGCCTCTTGGGGATCTCTTGGGGGCCTCTTGGGGCTTCCTGGGGGCCTCTTGGGGGCCTCTTGGGGGCCTCTTGGCGGCCTCTTGGGGGCCTCTTGGGGCCTCCTTTGGGCCTCTCGGGCAGAGGGCTCGAAATGTCCGTTCGGGTCCCCCGTTTGGCCTCCTATTGGAGCCGTCTTGGGGGCCTCTTGGGCCGTCTTGGGCGCCTCTTGGGCCGTTTTGGGGTCCTCTTGAGCCCTTTCGGGGCCCTCTTGGAGGCCTCTTGGGCCGTCTTTGGCGGATCCTGGGGGCCTTTTGGGCCGTCTTGGAGCGTCTGGAAGCCGAAACGGCGAGAGCGCCCTCACTCTCGGAGGCCTCTTGAGACGTCTTCGGCGCTTTTTCGGCCGACGGGAGGCTTTCCTGTCCTGGACCGATCGTTCGGCGGGTCGGGGCCCTCGGGGACCGTCTCGGGGGCCTCTCGGCCCCGTCTCGGGGCCCCCGTGGGCCCGGAAGGTCACGCAAGACGACGCTGGGAGCCCCAGGGGCCACGCGGGGAGCCCCGGAAGACGTGGTGATTTGTGGTCCTGGCCCTTGGGAGAGTCCTCCGGATTTCAGGACCGAGGCTCAATGGATTAGGCCAAGGGCCTGAGGACACTCCAACTCGTGTCTCGAGGGCACGGTGGCGGATACGCTCTGTTGTTCCATTCCGCGCTATGTCCGCCGAGTCGTGTCGTCGTAGAGCTTATCATCGGAGATGTTGCGTAGTGCCGAGTTGCTCGCGACATTCACCCTTCCGTGCAACATTCGCATAGACCACAGGTTCCAAGACGGCTCAGGATGTGCGAGCCTAAGGTTTTGCAGGGTTATCCTGGTGTCTTCAGCAGCAGTCGCAGCAGTCATTGGCAGCCATCAACAGTGAACACAGTGAGCACGCAATACAAGTAGCAAACATAACCAGCAAAGAGCAGCACCAAACCACACCCGCAAGCAGCAAGCAACTGCAGTGCGTAGGAACCGCAAGCAGCACCAGCAGCACTTCAAGGCATGCAGCAAGGAACATTAAACGGCACCAGGCAAGTACAAGCGCGCAAACACAAACAAGGGGCCTGCAGCATCAAGCTTCAGCGAACTCTTGCAAGAGCAAGCCCTTGTCAGCTACAATGTTGGGATCAGGGTCAGCGCGTGCGAGCAAGGCCAGCAGTGGCAGCGGGCACTCTCGTTGCTCAGCGAGATGTGCGAAGCGAATCTGGAGCCAGACCGCGACATCTTCAACGTTGAGGTCAGCGCGTGCGAGAAGGCAGGCTGTCTGAACCCTGGGGGCCGGCTGCTCTCCGGTACGAGCAGGGGAGCTCTCCTCAGATGTTCGGTCTTTGCGTCGACCGCGGCATGAGTAGCTTTCGCGAGCTCTTCGCAGCCTTCGGAAGTTCAGCCAAAGTGCTGGAGACATGGCGTACGAGATTAGCGAGCAGTCCAGCGGGCCATCTGTGCTTCTCGGCGAGGTGTGGGATTCGCTGCCATCGGCTACGACGCTGGCATCGTCGCGCACGAGAGAGCCCGAGTCTACCAGCTGTAATTCGAAGAAGAAAACGCCATAATCATCAACTTTTAGCGCTCCGCGCGAAATTCTTGCATCCCCGCTGGGCGCCCCCCGGCGGCGCCTCCGGCGCCGCCCCTGGCGCGCCCCGCGCGCCAGGGAGGGGGGTTCAGCGCAGATCCAAGAAATCCGCGCGGAGCGCCGAAAGCTTCTGTTTATGGTGCTTGCTCTTCCTCTACACCTTAGGCGATGCTTAAGAAAACTTGAATTTTCGGCCAGAGTCTCGATTATTCTTAACGTTTCAGTGTAAATCCCAAGAGTTTGATAGAAATGCTGGTTTTCATTCAAGTTCTGAGACTATGAATTTCTTAACCCCTGATTTCTTAAGCATTTCGCAGGGTGTAGGAGTGCGACGTCTGGGCCAGCGCGTGCGGGAATGCCTCCTGTCCCGACCAGGGAGGCCGAGCTCTCGCTGGTCCGAGCCAGAGCTGCTCTGCTGGGCGGTGCGGTCGCGGCAGCACGAGCACAACCTCCGCAGCTCTGTGCCGCGGCGCCCTCCCACGTCCGACCATGTCGGGGGAGACAAAGATACGGATACGTGTTGTCCCCCTTCGTTTTCGGCCTTTCCTGGTCCTCCTGGGGAATCCTCGTTGTCACCGCTGGATTCGCCTCGAAATTCTGGTCAGAACGCACCCCAAGAGAGGTCCGAGGACAACACGTATCCGTATCTTTCCGCCCCCCAACCATGGGCGCTGGACTCCAGCGCGTGCGGGAACGGCCGTCAGTGGCAGCAGGCTTTGCTCGGGACGATCGAAGCGGGTGCGGAAAGAGTGTGTACTCCAGATTGCGTAATAAAGGGAGGGGGGCCTCATTTCGGGGGGGGTCTCTTCCAGGCTATCTTGGAGGGCCTGGGGGGTCTGGGGACGATGTTTTGGAGGGTTCTTCCACCGGGGAGGTCTGAAATGGCTTGCCTTGGAGGGTCCAGACCCCCTCCCTTTTATTACGAAATCTGGAGTACAATGCCCAGCAGCAGTTCCGGTTCATTCTGAGCAGGACTCGCTGTCCGCGCCGCCGCGGACGTGGTTCGTCGAGGACGAAACGCCGCCTTGCCCAACAGCGGCCTCTGTCGGTTTTGGACAGCATTTGTTGTTGGGCATTGTGCCCCTTTTTCTTCGCACCCACTTCGGGCGTCCCAATCTACCGCTGCTCATCGAGACTGGGTCCCCAGCGTTATCAGTTCCAGCGCTGGGACCGCGTGCCGCGCGAGCGGGGCCCTCGCTGCGCACGCTCAGGCCTGCCCATATCAGCTCTTGGGCTTCGAGCAAGAGCGGCGATGGAACAAAGTCATGATATCTAGCACACCTCATCTAGGGCGGGTGGTAAGGGGGGGTGACCCAACATGGGGAGTGAAGAGAAAGGCCCTTCAGGGCCCTGCAGGGCCCCCTTGGGAGCCAGCTGGTGCCCACAAAGGGCCCCAAAGGGCCCCTTGAGGGTCATTTCCTTCGCCCCCCCTTTGGGTCCCCCCCCATCACCGCCCCCCCCTGGCGACCTCGCCCTCTCCGCCCCTCGCCCTGGCCCCTCGCCCCCCGCCCTCGCCCTCGCCCCTCGCCCCTCGCCCCTCGCCCTCGCCCCCCGCCCCCCGCCCCCCGCCCCTCGCCCTCGCCCCATCATCTCTGGAGTCGGCCACTTGCTCCATCACAGCACCTACGAGCAGGACGGGCCGTGGCGGCAGGCCCTCTGCGCTGCTCGGCGAGGCGCGTGGGGCGCGAGTGCGGAGCCCGACGTCCTGGCCAAGTCTGCGCCTGGAAGGGTTCGGACGCGCCGCCTCTGCTCAGGGAGGAATCGGGGCAGTGAAGCTGGATTCGGCGGCGAGCGAGGGGGGGAAGTGAGAAGGAGAAGGCCTTCTCAGAAGGCGGCGGGACGTCTCAGCAGCGTTCCAGCCTTCTCAGGAGTTTTTGTTCCGTGTCGTCGGGGAAAGCTTAGAGAAAAATTCTCCGAAGGCCAGGGGACTTCCGACTCTTCTGAGAAGGCCTGCCCCCTCTCGCTTCCCCGGAGGAGGAGGAGGAGGAGGAGGAGGAGGAGGAGGAGGAGGAGGAGGAGGAGGAGGAGGAGGAGGGTGGAGGAGGTGGAGGAGGCAGGTGGAGGATGAGGCGGTGGAGGAGGGCGAGGAGGTGGAGGAGGACGAGGAGAAAAGAGGATGAGGATGAGCAGTCGGAGGCAGGATGAGAGCCTTCTGAGAAAGCTCGCCTCTTCTCACTTCCCCCTCGGGCTCGCCGCCGATGGCCATGGCCGGAGCGGCATCGGAGCGCGCGAGAAGGGCGGGCCATCTGCTGGTGGCGCTGCCGCCGGCCTGGGAACTCGGTGTGGTACGTTGTTGGGGACGAGGGTCGGCAGCTACTCGGGGTTGTTGGGGATGGGGTGGTAGTGGATATCATGGGGAGGTAAGAATGGGCTGTTCGCCCAGCGTGTGGGGGTGGATCGCGTTCGGGGGTGAGTTCGGCGCGCGTGGGGGGGGCGGGACAGGACATCGGGCAGAGCGGCATGGGGATGTGCTTATTTGTGTACTCGGAGTGCATTGCGGGCCTTGACACGTGCGAGAAGAGTGGGAGCTCGCATACGGAGAGGTTGGTACCAACACGAATATCGGCGTTGTACCTCCACCGAAAGAGGATTACCTAGATCTCGGTGATGGATGGTGGTAATATTCGGGCTTCCTAGATGGCCGGAGTCTGACCACCAACACCAAATTCTAGGATACATTTCCCCCGGTTGAGGCAACCCCTTGTGATGGTGTTGGTGCTTTTTTTTCCAAGCCTCCAAAGAGTCGGCTGCGACTGCAGAGGTGCCGGTGCGCATGAGGAGGGGCGGGCAGCGGCCAGGGTCGCCGTCGCTGCCCGTGGAGGCGGGGGTAGCGAAGCTGGAGCTGGGCGCCGCCGTCTGCAGTGCTGACGTCGGCTCCCCAGGGGGAGCAAGCATCGGCCACGCGCAGAGAGGGGGGCTCATGGAGGGGGGGAGGCTTCGTACAGCACCCCTGCCTCTCAGGAGGCGCGGGGCCGGCGCCTTCTAAGACGCAGCCTCCTTCGAAGAGGCCTGCCCCCCCCTTCCCCCTGCCCTCCCGTGCGCGCCGCCGAATGGATGGGCCGGCCGAGTGTGCCTAGGTGTAACTGTGCCCACGGCGTGCTGGCGCTTCGTCCCGTCCGCCCGGAGACGAGCGGGCCCAGCGCAGCAGTCTTGCGAACACGGAGGGCCCGCCGACGCTGCGTCCGACCCCGCCGCTTCTCCCCCAGGGTTGGGCCAGCGGTGGGTGGCCAGCACTCCCCGGTGTCATTTTGGCTGTGCCCACCCCCCGCTCTCGAGCGTGGGGGTCTCGGCCTCCCAGGTGTGGTCGGAGTAGGTGGGCTCGGAGGATTCCGCCGCATCGCCGATGCATCGACGATGCGGCACGATGTGGCACCCAATTTGCGTCACGCCGACCTCCACGATGCGTCGGCGATGCGGCGCGAGCCTCCGACCCCATCTGGAGGAGGAGGAGGAGGAGGAGGAGGAGGACCAAGGGAAACCCAAGAGTCATCAACGATGTTGAAATTAACCCTCCAAGCTCCCTCTTCGCAGGCCCCTACAACGGTTCATTTCCATTGAGGGGATTGCCTCGCTGGAAGACAACAGTTTGAATATCCTGAAGCGTGCCAAAACATTGTCTTCGGGATTTCAACACCACGTATCAACCTGACTTCTCCGTCTTGACGATTCAGAATCGTGCCAAAACGCTGTTTTTGGGACTTCAATAACGAATCAACATAACTGTTGCGCCCGCATAATCCTGAATCCTTCCAACACATAATTTCTGGTACGTTGACCATGGGAACCCGTGAAACTTTTGCAAATCTGCAAAACGAATGTGTGCGGCGCTAAGGCGAGAGCCACATTTTGAAAAGGAACCGCCCTCAATCCGTGAAACTTTTTGTATTTTTTAGCGAATGTGCACGGCGCTCAGGCGAGAGCCACATTTTGAAAACGGCCCGCCCTCAATCTGTTAATCTCTTACAGATTTTGAAAACGAATGTACGCGGCGTTAAGGCGAGAGTCACATTTTGAAAACGACCCGCCCTCAATGTGTTATCCCTTTGCAACTTTTCACGGGAATGCGCGCTGCGCTACGGCGAGAGCCATATTTGGAAAACGACCCGCCGACAATCCGTGAAGCTCTTACACAATTTTTAAGACGGATGTGCGCGGCGCTGAGGCGAGAACCACATTTTGACAACGACCGCTCTCAATCAGTGAAACATATAGCAAATGTTGAAAACGAGTGTGCGCGGCGCTAAGGCGAGAGCCACATTTTGAAAACCACCCGCCCTCCATCTGTGAACATGTTGTCATTCTTAAATATCACAGTCATAAATGGGGACGAAGTCTCAGGCGAAACGCCCGGCCCGCCCTAAAACTGGCCTCGGGGTGCGACAGGGAGAAGTTCTTTCTACGGAGAATGAATGGAGGAGAAGAAGGAGGAGGAGGAGGAGCAGGAGGAGGAAGAGGAGGAGGAGCAGGGGGAGGAGGAGGAGGAGGAGCAGGAGGAAGAGGAGGAGGAGGAGGAGCAGGAGGAGGACGAGGAGGAATCATGATATTTCATCGTAAGACGAGCAATATACTACTACTAATAATAGTGGTAATAACAATAAGGGAAAGAGTTATACTGAGAAGACCGAGAATATTGATATTAAGATTCGTATGACAACTAAGGCTAGCACTACGTACAATACTAATATAGAGAAAGTAGGACGACTAATACTTGCGTGACTAAGAACATGCATAGAAAAATCAAGAGGCATCATGTTAATAATAAGCAGAAGACCACATTAACAATAAGACCAATACTAACACTCATACGGACAATACTTATCTTACATATTTAAGAATTGAAATGCTACTGCTCATATTGCGGATACTGACGATACGAGTACGACGGATGACAAACTAATACACGTAATAATACGTTCGCCATCATAAACGACTCATAATACTAATGGTAGTAAACAGATTAAGTCGAAGAAAGTGAACCATACGAATGATACTGGTTCCAATGAGAAGAATACTATGACGCACAATCATGCTACGAAGAGTACGAATAGTATTGTTATTATGATTCCAAGTGGTATTGTGAAAAAGAGCAAGAATCCGACTAATACGAAGACGAACAACAATATTATCAATATTAATGCTAACACTCAGAATAAGAACAATACGAATGGCACTGCGAAGGATAGTACTACCAATGCTAATACGAGGAGGGGGAGGTGGTGGTGGTGGTGGAGTTTTGCTGTGAACCGCTGCCAGTCAAACTTTCGATGGGATCGCCGGGCAGGGAAGGGGGTTGTGGAGGAGGAGGGCTTGGAGCAGGATGATGGGGGTAGGATGTATGGAGGGGGGCAGGGAGGGAACGATGGTGATGACGATAATGATGCTGATGATGCTGATGATGATGATGGTGGTGGTGGTGGTTGTGGTGATGATGATGATACTGATGATGATGATGCTGATGATGATGATGATGATGATATGATGATGATGATGATGATGCTGATGATGATGATGATGATGATGATGCTGACGCTGACGATGATGATGATGATGATGATGATGATGATGATGATGATGCTGATGCTGATGCTGATGATGCTGATGCTGATGCTGATGCTGGTGCTGATGATGATGATGATGATGATGCTGATGCTGATGATGATGATGATGATGATGATGATGATGATGATGATGATGATGATGCTGATGATGCTGAGGGGGAGGAGGAAGAGGAGGAGGAGGAGGAGGAGGAGGAGGAGGAGGCGGAGGAGGAGGAGGGTGACGAAAAGGGGGAGGGCAGGCAGAGGACGAGGCCGATGATGAGTAAGGCCAGCAACACCAGTGGGAAGACGACGTCCGCCCGTGAGGTCCTGAAGACGGCTTCGTGGCAGGGGAAACGCCAGACGCCACTCCTCAACCGCATCGACATCGGGGTGATCCCGAAGAAGGGCGCGGATTCCTTGCACAAGACGGACCGCAAGGGGCTTCCCCTGGAGGTCTCCCGATGTGTCCTCCTAGGGCGTCTGGTGGCTCTTGGGGGTCCGCGAATGTTTCTGGGGGTCAGTGGAGGTTTTCCAGGGCTTTCAGAGGGGAAAGGAGGAGGAGGAGGAGGAGGAAGAGGAGGAGGATGAGGAGGACGCGGAGGCGGAGGAGAAGGAGGCGAAGGCGGAGGCGGTGGAGGAGGAAGAGGAGGAGGAGGAAGAGGAGGAGGAGGATGGGGAGGATGAGGAGGCTGCG